AACGTCATCATGGCTGGGTCCACGTAGGCAGGAGCTTGCGTCGAAGGGTTAGGAGGTGCCGAGACGCCGGCCATTGAATCCGTGACTGATTTCGGTTGGGCGGTGGTGATGTTCAGCTGCGAAGGCTCATGAGGTTGTGGCTTGATCCGCTGAGACTTGATGTATCGGGTGATGGAGTCAAACTTGGACTGGAGGTATAGGTCTCCACTGGGAATTGGCCAGCCATCGATCGCGCGGGAAGTGGTCACCCATCGCCGGAATAACCCTTCGAAGCCATGAGGACCACGTCGAAATGTTTTCGGGATGACATCTTTACCTAGGTGACGATCCATCATCTTGACGAAGAGGCCCCAGGTTCCGTCATCTTCATCCTCATCGGGGGTTGGAAGCCAGAGCGGGTGATCAAAGAAAACAGCAAACTCATCCGTTGCAAGGCCAACGGGAATGTTGGTTGGAATTTCCAAAAGAGCCTCGATGGCGCTGATCTCTTTCTCAATCTCGTCCGGAAGTTCGAGTTCAATTGGCATGAGGGATTCGTGCGCAGCTTGCGGAGGCTCTTGGGCAGGCGAGTGATCGGTACTGTTAGCGAGGGGTGGAGATGGACCGGCGCCCCCGTCTATTTGGGGGGGGCCAGAAGAGGCAACAGGAGTTGCAACCGGAGCCCCAAGTCTGTGAGCCGGAATGCCAAAGGGAGGCCTGGTCTGACCGATCAGACGTTCTCCCTTTTTCAAGGCGGCAACCAAAGGATTCAATCGATTGTGCAGGTCGCGGGTATCATGCGGCGTCCAGCCCGGGAGACTCCTCACGGCTCGTAGCCATGAGAACATCAAATGATAAGCATCTGTGCCGCTTCGCAGGTTCAGGGGGAGCTGGGATTGATATAATACCGTGTCCCAATGGTGTTTGACGTAATGAGATAAAGGTAAGTGCTGAGAGCGATCTGAGGGAAGTCCAAAAGGGGTTGAAAAGAGGGTGTAAAAAGGATCCAAAGGGGTGGCGCTCATGGGTGGATACCATGAGGGTCGCTGTGCATAATCCAAGATTTCGTTGCTAATGCGCCTGAAACCGGCGTCGGCGTGGTGCAATTCGGGGTTTTTAGGGGGAGGCAGAGGTGATGGAGCGCGAGGTGTAGTGGGTTGGGCTTGGACGCGGAGGATCGTTTCCTTTTCTGTGAGCGGGCTTTTGTTCCAAGACTGGGGGAGGTTGCAGCTACCTTATTGCTTGCTGTGACCTTCGCGAGCCGTGACGGATTGACTTGGGATTGAGTGGGGACGGCGTTGTTGGAAGGCGGCTTGGGAAACTTGCCAGGCTCGTTTTCACTCCCCTTTCGAGTTGGCGGGGTCGTTTTCTTCTGAGGGCTTCCGGATTTCGAGGTAGACAAAGTCGGCGTAGGAGGGACGGGTTGGGAGTTGTTTGCGGCGGTGGCATTCGCTCGGCTGTTGCGTTGAGAGGCCCTCCGTTTAGGTGCTGGCGCGTACTCCGTGTCCGATGAAGCCGCGCGTTCATCGGCAACAGGTTCCTCTTGCTCTTCACCGGATGATCCTTCGTCCTCTTCTTTGTCAGGACGGAAGAGCGGTTGTGCTGCGTCTGTTGAGGGATGATTGGGCATGGGGTCATCCTCCATTGGAACCCCGAGGACTTGGACCAAGGAGCTCCTCTGGTTTCTATAGGTCCCATCTCGAATGCCTGTGAAAGCCACTCGGTCAGTTGGAGTGATCCACTGGCAAATCCGGAAATCATTTGTGGAGCTGACTCACTTTCCAATGTACCTTTGATGCGGAATCCCGTGCTCCTCAGTGACTCGAAGATGTCTTGCGTGACCGCTTGTTGTTCCAGCGACGCTGCAATCCAGTCTCGTTGGTGAATGAGGGTCCTTTGAAATGAGGCGAGGTCCACGTGGAACGTTGTGCCATTCAAGAGGCTCGCTTGGGTGCTCGTGAGGATAGCTAAAAAAAACAAAAAAAAAACAATGATGATCAGATTCTGAAGTTAGCTACCCAGGGATTGGATGAAAGCCGTGGATGGGTTCACCCGCGTTTCTTGTCCTCATCTGGAGATGGCTGCGCTGCGCCAGTTGGTCCAGGTGTGTTTCCACCTACCTCTTCTTCCTCCTCTTCCGAACTCAACTCGGTGGATGAATCCGTATTATCGTCGTCGTGATTTAGTCCCTGGGGATTTATCGCTTGCTGGTTCACCGTGATCCGTTTCCCACCATGGGATGGGTGCGTGCCTGAAACCGTGTGCATACCGAAGAGTCCTGCGAAAGCCTGGAATGAAATAAATCGATCAGGTCAGTTATCGACGTTCGGGTTGGTTCATTCCATGAGACACTCGCTTACGTACGTTGAAACTCCGAACGGTAGGAAAGCGTGCCGGTATCAATCAGGTAAGCAAGGGGATTGTGGGAAACGTGGGGTAAAGCTGGGCGATGATCAATTGGAAGGGTGTCGCAGGTATGAAAAAGTCTGAAACAGGTTTCAGCGAAGGAAGGGGAATTACCCCTGCCCCGGCCCGAGTGTCTGTCCGATGGTGTACCGAGGTACCGCCGCAGTCGCTGTATGTAATGTTACAGGACAGGTCAGCAAGTCGCGACTTGCTGACCCCGTGAGCTTAGGATCTGAGGAACCGCGGATACAAACCTTCATGGGGCCAGCAAGCCGCGGCTTGCTGACCTCTTTTGGCAATACATGGGTCAGCAAGCCGCGACTTGCTGACCCGATGAAGGTTTGTATCCGGGGTTCCTCGCTCCGAAGCTCCGGGG